CTCTAGACTGTAAATTACTTGCATTTAAGAACTGTTGTTTTGTGTTTTTTTTTTTTTTATGAATTTCATATCCCCAGGGCCTAGGCCAGGAGTGGGCACGTAGGAAACACTTGATAATGTTTGTTGAATGAATAAGTGTTTTCATATCATCCTATTTAATCCTGATCACGGGAGTGTTGCATTCCACATAACCGAACTGTCATGTCCAGGTCAGGCTTCGTCTGCTCTGGAGTCCCACCAGATGGACCCAGTTTAATCAGCTGACTTGATTGGTCTGTGAGTGACTCTGCATGACATTGATTCTCACTTTCCAGTTTGAATTGGAATGGCCGAGGTGGAAAGAGCAACCCTCGGGAATCAGTCTCCTCAGGGCTCACGTCAGCGTGGCCTTTGGCTTCTTGCCCAGCTTGTAAGTGTCACTTCCCTCTTGTTGAATTAGGATGTGTGAGGGCAGCACCTAAGATGCCTTGTGGCCCAAAGCGAATTCTCGGTAAATCTTACTTTCTTGACCTTGCCCTAGCTTCCGTGAAGAAAGTGAAAGCAAAATAGAAGTTGAAACAAGTTTTGAACCATCTCTGGCATATTTATCTGTGGGAGACCGTTCAGGGCTCATCTTGCTCTGAGCACAGCTTTAAAGGTCACCTTTTTCTGTGCCGCTTGTCCCTTTTCCTGGGCCTCCATACGTTTCTGCTCTTTTATTGTGTCATTGCCCCGTTTTCATCTTTGGAGCCCTTGTCCCCTCGAATTGGCTGTGTAGACAGACATTTTCTTTAGATATCTCTCCTCTCCTGTTTTTTTGGGGGGATCACTGGTTATTGTATTTCAAGAATTTCAATTGAAACTCAACTTACTTTTGCTCTCCTTCAATAATTCTCAGAAACCATCTCAACTGTAATACATTATTCACATGCTTTATCTGCCGTCCTCTATAATAGCTGCTTCACAGTTTAGTCTGAGCATTTTTCTTCATTCCCCTAAATTTTGAGGTCAAAGCGCACTTAGGCTGTTTCGCAGTTCCCTTTGCAAATATGCCCTTCGCGGTGTCACGTGACCATGCCGTGTGCACGCTGCACCTGCCAGTGCCGGCAGGTACCTGGGCTGCTTAGTTTGTAGATTATTTTCCTCTTGTTGCTTCTCTTCCTTCTTTAACTCCCACTTTTGGCATTTTATTCATCCCAACTCCTCTAAACTATGTGGAGCTTCAAAAGAGTTGTTTTTAAGTTACTAATAGATCTAGTAAGAGACCCACTGAGGATAGCAAGAAAAATTTACTTTTAACTTAGGTTTCCGTGTTATCTGTGACAGTGGTTCTGCACCCTGAAAGGATGGGGCATAGAGAGGGACAAAGGTGTAAAATAAGACCCGCCTAAGGTGCTCTTTCACAATTCATACTCCGCATCCCTTTCCCAGCCATTTGTCTGGTGGCAGAGTGACAGCAGGCTGCGTGTTTTAAGAAACCTTTCTAGAATCCTTTGTAGCCTCTTACCTGGTGTCTCTCACCCTCTCGGTTCAAAAACACTCATCTGTAGATTTGTTAGTTATAATAATCTGGCCTGCCAATGTCATGCTTATTTGAGAGTTGTTCTTTGTTTCATTTCAAGAATATAAAATTGCCACATATAGTTCATTTTGTTTTAAGTAAAAGCTGAAGCTAAGGATATGTTTGCCTGGCTAAGGACATTTTCAAATCAAAAGGCAAGAAAGTGTAGTTTTAATGAATCATAAATTTGTTTCATACAGACACTTTTCCTGCTCTGCAAATATTCATTTAAATACTAATTAATTAAAATATAATTACTTATAAACACATTACTATAAATTGGATGAACTCCAGAATGCTGGAAACAATATGAAAAGTTAATATAGAACAGTTAAAATTACCGTGTTCGTAGGAAATATTTTGAGAATAGAGCAGATTGAAATAGTAAAGCTCAGAATCAGAAAGACTAGGTCTGGTTCCATGCATTGGCACTTCCTTGCTCTCTGGGGCTGTGTCAGTCCCTTGGCGTCTCAGTTTTGCCTTCTGTGGGATGGTGATGGCCTCTAATAAAGTTGGGAGGATCAAAGTCATGAATGTGACAGTTTCCAGCACCTAAACATCTAGTAAGTGTTAATAGAATCTGAATCTAAGGCCTATGAATTATTTAAAACAGAGTGTAGGTGTGCACGCACATGTTTTGTGTGTATGAGCATTTGAATATATGAATGTGTAGGAAATTAAGTTTACTGTATACTTAGACTGTGGAGGTGGGTGATGGTTTTGAGTCTAATGGTGTGTATGTATGTGAGTTAGTGTATTTCCTGAGGGTACCATTTTAAATTATTTTTTCAGTTTTGCTGAAGTAGATTACTTCCAAACCATAGACAGGCTAAAAAATGTGCAGTGTTAATTTTACAGTGTTATAGTCATTGCAGAATTCTTCTGTCCATCTTGTATTGTTTTCCTTGTGCTAGGTCTGTTCTGGAGGCCTCCTTAGTCCTTACCGAGGCTAATGACCTAACCGTTATGGGTACTCCTACACAGATTTTTCTTCCAAATGGAAGTTAAATATTAGCATGTTGTCCTGTTTTATGCCCAGAAAGTGTTGAATTTAGTGCCTTACTATCAAATGTAAAATTTGTGGAAGGCAAATAGTTTTCTTAATGAATCGCTGAGTATGCACTGTGTGTTAGGGTGTTTTACGTACATTACCAATAACATTACAAGAAACTGCAAAATAGGTGGCATGCAGATTTACAGATAAGGAAACCGACTCAGAAGGACAAACGTATTCCCCAAGGTCAGAGAACTATTAGGAAAGAGAGGTAGAAAGCAAGCTCAGATTGTCTGACCCACGTGTGGTATATAGGTTGTTGCCTAGTCACTATGACAAATCAAGGAAATGTGCTTTAAGATATAAAAGAGTTTGGAAATATAGTGGGAGCACACTTGGCCTTGGATGGGCAGAAGCCTGCAGGGCAATCAGACGTCGCATCTGTTCTCCGGAGGCTGTAACAGGCTGTCATTGATCCAGCTGCAAGGCCCTGCAGCCCTCCATGTGGTTTCTCCAGGTCTTTCCCAAGGCTTTGCTCATCACCCAGACTGTGCACTTGCCTCCTCACCCTTTCCTCAGCTCCACTGCCCACCCACACCCCTTCCCCTATGGAAACATACAATAGGGTGGTTGTGAGGACAAATGAGTTAATACATGTAGAGGGTTTACTACACTGCCTGGTACATAGGAAGTACTCAATATATGTTGGCTACCATGAGTTTCATTTTTATTGTTAATAGGATTATTCTTATTAGTGGTGGTGGTAAATGATTCAAAGGTTTTATGATGCCTTCCTCAAGGATATGACGGTTCCCTGGTGATTTATTGCACAGGGTCCCCGGCACAGGCATGTTCAGTAAGATGCACAGGATGGATGGAGTCGGAGAGTTAGTAAGGGAATGATTCTTTCCATACCGAGGTTGCCAGAAAGTTTTCTCTGTGCCCTACCTTAGTTCCTTGCCATCAGCCAGAGACGCAGTCCGTGAATCTCATTTCCACATCTTTCTGCCTGGCTTCTTCCTTTTATCTGTATAGAGCATTAACGGCATCGGAGTCACTAACAGGGTTACACATTTTTTTGAGGGGGCGGGGAGGTTGTAGCTTGTATTTGACCTTCATGCTGGGTTCCAGGTCCCCTGCTCCACTGAACTGTGCAGTGTCATTCCACCTGCAAAGGGCACTCTGGTCCTCCCCACCCCTACACACACACATACTATTTTTTTTCTGTTTAATTTTTTTTCTGGTATCCCTTTATATTGTCCGTCCCAGCACATGTATGACTTTATATGACTTTATATTTTTGCTTTTCAGTGTTCTCACCTAATTCTTGTATTTTTTTCTATTTTCTGATTTGAATATTTTGGATAGCAACAGAGTTGAACAATGTGGGAAAGGCTATTATTGTCAGATACATGATTTCATAAAACTTTCCATGGACCCAGTAGCATTGAACCCAGGGCAGGAGGTTTTTTAACTCTTATTTTGCATGAGAGCATTTCTACTTGAAATCCCTCCCTTGATCCATAATATTAAATTTTGCTTATCTCAGTTAAGAATGTTTGGCTCTTATGTTCTCTTTGGGCAAATAATAGCATCTGCAGTCTTTGTCATCTCTTCTACTTTATAACATTTAAAAAATCTGTTTTAATGTAATTTCTAATTTATCTTCCCTTTTCTAAAATGTAAATGTATAGTATACAAAAGGGATAATTTAGGATTGGGGATTTTTTTATTTATAGGAAATGGACCTTTTAAATAAACAACATTTGTTATAGTTATCAATTCAAAAGTAGTTTCCATTCTTTCTAGAAAATGAGCATTCTAAAAAGTAAAAGAAAATTAAAAGTAAAAGAAAGAAAATTAATATTACTTTGTTCTGACGCCCAGAGATGACTGTAGATAAAATGTCGGTATATTTCATTCTGGCCTCAATTCAACTTTATATATTTAATTTTATAATGCATGTTTATAAATATATTTTCATTAGCTAAAGCTTATATGTTAATTTTTATAATTAGACATTTTATATATAATTATATATTCATTAACTAAAGTTTACATATAAACTACAATTCATATCATATAGCAGTATTCAGATATTCCAGTAATTTTTTGGATACAAGTTTGACCAAAAAAAACCCCCTAAAATTAATTATTTAACAAACTAAAATAGATAATTTCTATTTATAAAATACACATGACAAATATTTCAATATTAGAAAAATAAGTCATGAAAAACTTGAGTCCTACATTTCCTCCACCCCCACTGTTAACAGTATATGTATAAGCACTTATTCTTTTTTAAAAAGTACCTGTGACTAGATTTGTGAAATGTTTGTTCATCTATGATTAAATTTGTGAAGGCGTATGGAATGGATGTTCTTTGCTTTGTGGCTGAGTCAGATGTGCAGTGAACAAGTATGTGTTTTGAAAAATAATATCTCAATATTTTTCTCCGTGCTTTAGGTATGTGTTCTTTTTGGATCCATGCAATCTGGACTTGATAAACCGGAAGATCAAGTCTGTAGCACTGTGCGTGGCAGCATGCCCAAGAGAAGAGCTGAAAACCCTGAGCGATGTCCAGAAGTTTGCAGAGACGAATGGTGAGGCATTAGGCTGAGCAGTGTACACCCCATCACTTCTTCTCCCTGTCAACTCTCATCTGTTTGCCTTCCCATATAAAAGTGCCCTAGTGTTTGAAAAGTCATCAGAGAGCCTCAAGAAGAAGAGACCTGAAAGCACTTTTGGGCTTTTTTGATAAAAAAATGTTATGGTCACCTAGGGAGTTTGTTCAAACGCCAGATGCCTTGGCCCCACCCTGGGAAATTCTCACTGAGTAGGTCTTTGGACTCTGGAAATTTGTATTTTTAACAAATGTCTCGGTGATTTCGAGGTAGGCTGTTTGAGTATTTGGGAATTATTTGGCTATGTAACTTTTATATGTATATATACATATACATATATATTTTTTTTTCTTCCCTTCCTAAGTATTGATTAAAAGTATTTCAATTAGTATATTTTATTTTTACCCCTGGTTAACAATGTAATATATGTCTTATTTTAGGAAATTTGAAGAGTTCAGAGAAAATAAAAGAAGTAAAAATCAAAATTCCATCATTTTCCAATGTGTTGGTGTATATAATTTCGTTTTGCTTTTTCAATAGAACATTATGTCTTAACCAGTTTTCTAAGAAACTTTGAGGTTAAACCGATGGGAATTAGCTGAGAAAAAAAGCATAGTCAATTCCCTGAACTCCAGTTCGGTTCCCTCGGGTTCCGATATCTAGGTGCTATCCTCAGCTCCATATGACCCGCCTCAGCCTCTTCAGAGAATTTTTTTTTTTAACCTCTCTTCGTGGAGGACCACATATTGATAGCTCTGAAAGCCTGTGATTTTGAACTTCTGTGAGGTTTCATGTTTGTATTTTGTGTGTAGGAATCCTCAGAGCTGCCTCAGTCCTGCCCAGATCCATAGGCTGGTTCTAGGTCCTTTGAATAAAGTCCGACTCAGGCATCCACCTGGTATATCTTCCAGCTGGGTGGAGAAAGAGCCTGGCAACACAGCTGGTCACATACCAGCGTGGCTTCGTAGTCTCTAAGGGGGGGGTGCTGGCCTCCTGAGGACAGAGGACTATTAACTGGCAGCATTCCTGTCCCACCACTAAATGCTCTCAGCATCAGATAGTGGGAAGAGAATGGAACCGGCTTGGGTCTGGATTCTAATTCTGCTTCTGTCACTGACTGGCTCTGTAGTGAGGGACAGAAGGTATAACCTGCCTGAGCCTGGATTTCCTCATCTGAAAAAAAATGTGCATTCAAAATTATGCCCTTCTCGTAGCTTGTTGTGAGGATTAAATGAGATGATGCGTGAAGAATACTGTGTACTTGGTGGGCACTGAATTAAGAGGTACGAACTACTCTTTAAGATCTTATTTTCTGTCCCCACATGATATCCTCAGATGTGTTGATTTGCCTAGTCCAATCCCAGAACTATCAGCCTTGTCATTCTTAGGGTTATTAGGGAGGGGTGAGTTATTCTTGAAGAGTTTTTCTAAAATCTTAGACAATGTGAGCATACACAGGGTGGTCTGGGCGTGGTGGGGGGTGTCATTGAGTGGTGAGGAGCATAGACTCTGGAGCTAGAGTATCTGGGTTCACATGTTGGCTCTTCCACTTAATAGCTGTGAGGCCCTGGCCAGGTTACTTGATCTTGCTGTGCTTCAGTTTCCTGATCTATGAAATAGGAATGATATTTGTACCCAAAATACCTCAGAGGGCTGTTATGAGGAGTTAATACATGAAAAATGATTAGAACAGTGTCTGGCAAATAGCAAGTTGCTAAAAAAAAGTGTTGGCTGCTGCTGTTACATGATTATTATTATTCCACCAATGGAATGTAATAGTCTCCTGCCTCTAGTCCCTCTCTCCTTCTAAACTCCCTTACATACTGCTGCCATATTAACAGTCATAGAGCTTCAGTCATGTTAATCCCTTGCTCAGAAATCAGTGGTAAAAATCATAAAATGAAAGTCTGTATGTCTTACCCTGGCGTTTAAAGGTATAATCTAGGGCTTAACTATCTTCTAATATGTTCCTTGAACCTAATGGATATGAGGTCCCTTGAACCTGACATGTTATCCAGACGGCTGAAAGAGAGCCATTTCCTTGGTGGCGGCATTGCCCGCTGTGGAGAAATGTCCCGCGCTGCCATGCTGGCATTCTTTGCTTCCAGGCCAGTCTCCTTCTAAGTCTATGTGGTACTGAGTATGTGGCCTATTAAGGTCCTGTTCAGATGACCATTCTGGAGAGTTTTGCATCTTTGTATTTCCCATAGTGTCTTGGACAGAGTAGGTGTTTAAGAATATTCATGAATAAACATTATTTCAGAAAACAGACTTCTTAAATTAATGCCTAGCTACAAAGGCACCCTTTCTATTTGCAGAATAAGTCAACAGATTAGACATTTAAAAAAAAAAAAAGTAATAATAATGGCAGCATCAAGAAGCACAGCAATGGAAGATGGAGAAGATAATAATTTTAGAAAGCAAATAGAAAAACTATAAAATTATAATAGAGAGGGAACCTTTGGTGTAGAGGCCTAAACACCTTAATTTTAACAGCAACCCTAAGTTGAAATTTCTGATATTGTTCTTTGGATTGGTGACTTAAAATTAGACCTGGTAAGATTTAATTTCAGTATTACTTTTGTCACAAATAATTCTTTCTTTGCTTTTTGCATTATCTTTTATCTTTCCATCATTTGAGGTGCCAATTGATTTGGAAGGAGCGATAATTTTTACTCTTATCTGTGTCCACATATTGTTACAGCTTTGTTTCTATTAGAAAATACATGGGACTTTTAATCTCAAATATATAGATCTCAATCATTAATTTCAGAGAAGAATATCTTTTAAGGATAATTTAGATTAAGTGCAAAATTTCCAAATCTGTAAGAGAATTGTTAAAAGTCCACGAAAGAGCCCAAATGCATGAGCAAACTACAATATAAAGCTCTTTGAAGAAAACACAAGGCAAAGCTTCATGACTTAGGATTTGGCAATAATTTCTTGGATATGAATCTAAAGCACAGGCAACAACAACAAAAAATAGATACATTTGACTACATCAAAATTTAAAACTTCCGTGCATCAAACGACACAATAGAGTGAAAAGGCAATCCACAGAATGTGTTAAAATATTTGTAAATTTTATAAGTGTTACTATCCAGATAAGGGGTTAATATCCAGAATATATAGAGAACCCCTACAACTCAACAACAAAAAAACAAACAACCTAATTTTAAAAAGGTCAAAGGACTTGAATGGTCAAACAACTTTAGACATTTCTCAAAATAAATACATGAATGGTTAATAATAAAGACATGAAAAGATGCTGGACATAATTAATCATAAGGGAAATGCAAATCAAAACCACAGTGAGAGACCACCTCACACCGAGTAGGATGGCTACGATCAAACAAAAAGCCCCACAAAACAGAAAGTAACAAATGTTGGCGAGGATATGGAGAAATTGGAATCCTAGTACACTGTTGTTAAGAATGTAAAATGGTGTGTCTGGGACTCCTCAAAAAATTAAAAATGGGATCACCACAGTGGAATTTTACGGCAGTGAAAATACTTTGTATGATACTCTAATGATGGATATGTGTCATTACATATACGTTTGGCCATGCCCATAGAATGTACACCAAGAGTGAACCCTACTGGACTTTGGGTGATTATGATGTGTTGATGTAGGTTCATCAATTGTATCAAATTACTACTCTGGTGAGAGATGTTGATAACGGGGGAGGCTGTGCAATGTGTCAGGGCAGGAGGTATATGGGAAATCAGTGTACCTTCCTCTCAATTTTGCTGTGAACCTAAAACTGCTCTAAAAAAATAAGGTCTTTAAAAAAACAGATTACTGTATGATCCAGAAATCTCACTTAGGTGAGATTTGACAACAGGATTTTGAGGAGCTATTTGAAGACTTACGTGTATTGAAGGATTATTCTGCCACGAGATGAAAGTAACCTAAATGTCCATTGATGAATGAATGCATAAAGAAAATGTGTGTGTGTGTGTGTGTGTGTTTGGGTGTAATGCAATATTAGCCTTAAAAAATAACGAAGTCCTATTACATGATACAACATGGATGAACCTTGAGGACATTAGGCAAAATAAGCCAGTTACAAAAAGACAAATACTGCATGATTCCACTTACATGAAGTATCTAAAGTAGTCAAACTCTTAGAAGGTAGAATGGTGGCTATGAGGGGCTGGGGGAAGGGGGAAAATTGGGAGATGGTATTCAATGGGTATAGATTTCCGTTTTACCAGATGAAAAAATTCTAGGGATCTATTGCACAGCAGTGTGCATATAGTTAACACTACTATACTATACATTTAAAAATGGTGGAGATGGTAAATTTTATATAACGTGTTTTTACTGTAATTTTTTTTAAAAGAAGGCAATTGTGACATATGCTATAACATGGATGAACCTTGAAGACATGTTAAGTGAAATAAGCCAGTCACAAGAGGACAAATACTGTATGATTCCCCTTATGTGAGGTGCTTAGAGTAGTCAAATTTATAGAGACAGAAAGTAGAAGAATGGTGGTTGCCGGGGTCTGCGGGGAGAGAGGGATGGGGAGTTGTTTTATGCATAAAGAGTTGCAGGTTTGCAAGAAATGAAGAGTTCTGGAGAGAGATGGTGGTGATGGTAGCAGACCAGTGTGAATGTACTTAATGCTACTAAACTGTACACTTCAACATGGTTAAAATGGTAAATATTTTGTTCTGTGTATTTGGTTGTCAGAAAAGTCATGACGTATTTTTCTGTTTTTTATTGCACAAATACGTCATGACTTTTCCGACAACTCAATATTTTGCTACAGTTAAAAGGTTTGTGAAAGAGAAAGAATGATAGTAACTTTTTAATTAATGATTTTAAACCTCATTTTAAAATGGAAGGTAAAATAACATTTTTCTTACCAGAATGAAAAGATAATATAAATCCCTTTCAAAGAAATTTAAGTTTCCATAACAGCATTTGAATGTACTTTTTAGCACTTAACAACCATCCATTCATATGAATT